AAATAAATAAAATAAAAAGGCCTGTTGAGTTTTATTTGTGATGTTCCAAACCCACATAAAATTCACATACTTTTATCTGTTAGCCTCTCTGTGGTTGAAAATACAGACTGTTATATTATGAAATCTTGTCAGTACCTGAGAGTCATTTCTGCAGCTAAGTTAGCACCAAGAGTCTCATCTCTAGGATAGGTGTCAGAATTCATTATGGAAACTACAGATGACAAACTATTATGTAGCCTGTGTTAACTCTGGACACAAAAGTAGCACGAGAGATTCTAAAGGTTTCGAATTGCCTGAATTGTCCTACTTGAGAGTCAGCTAATAAAGTTGGCTGGTAGAAAGCTGGTAGGTTCTCTAGGGAACCTGCCCTGAAGTGAGGATGATGTAGTCTGGGACAGTTCTACGATAATTGAATGTACATCCTCAAAACTGCCTTCAAAATTTAGTAGAATTCCTATAGGTTTAAAAAAAAAAAAGAAGGTCGTCACTATCTTTTCTTCTGCTCAGAGATTTCATTCTAAACCTACATCAGTATTTGCCAACACCCATATTATCCCAACCAAGTAAATGAAAACTGAACAGAATAAAAATGCTCCAACCAACAAAAAAGAACGTACTCTTAGAAGATAATCAGCTAAAGGATCTCTCTTTGGGTATTATGCCAATTTGAATTTGGAAAACTTGAAAAGACCTCAAGTTTTAGTCTGACTCATCAAAGGAATCAGAATAGAAAGATTTTTATCTATGTTTGCAGGAAGTCACCAGTCTCCAGAGCAGATTCAAATCCAAATCAGACTTCCACAGACATTAGCAGATTATTCAAATCCTGCCTGTGGTCAAATTCTATATACCTGAGTATTTTAAAATTATAGTTATATCTAATATTCAACATGAGGATATAAGATAGATATTTTACCAATCTCTAAAACATATTGTTAACAAAAATAAAAATATAAAGGCTCAAATCAACTATAACTATACACTTCAGAAAATCCATGTTCAATGTTATTGAGACTCATTATTAGAAAGATTAAATCTTTATATTAAATCAGACACTTCTTCCGAAAACTCTGACCAATACAATGATGAGTTTAGAGAAGCATAAGATGAAAGGAATTCTTATCACAATGAAGAATAGTAGAATATCTCTCCTTTAAAAAAAATATGAAACTCTAAAGAAGCAAGCTTTTTCAAGAATCAAATGAAGTAATCAAATTTTCATCTATAATATAATGTGTTTATCAGTAAAATCAGATAGCATGCTTAAAATATGTCAATGTATAGCAATAACCATGCACTACAGCTGTAACAAAACACTTAGAAGTGTATAAATTAAATACAGCTATAAAATTAAAATTAGCAATAACAGCAAGAAAAAATAATATTAGACAGAAAAAAAGACTCTAACCACTTTGTCCTCCTGGTGTGAAATCCACGAAAGCAAGTTAGAAAGGACAGAAAAGACAAAACAAAAAAAATAATAATTAATTCCATTCTTAAAACAAGTAAGAGTTTTTAAGAGTTTGTAAGTGAAATAAAAATTCTGAAGAAGTCTAATTTACCATTTTGATTGAAATATAAACATTTTAAAAGGAAAAGTTTTTCCACACATTTCAAGCAAGAGCATGCCATATACTAGAATATATAAAGATACATAAACAATAGTTTCTATAAAAGCAATAAATATACAATCAGAAAAATGAGAATGTTCTTTCCACAAATAAAATCCCAATTAAACACTCAATTAATCCAAAGAGAGAAACTGAAAAATGTTAAATAGCTTTTTAAGTGCAGAGACAATAAACCACAGCATCACTCTTTATCTTTAATTTCATCATATACTGTCAAAAGTAGACAAAATTTTATATGAATTATGCATATTGCTTCTAAAAGTTATTTCTGTCCCATTAATTTAGAAGCCTTCTAAACTTTATAACTGAAAAGAAAAAAATTAGAAAAAAGCATTAAAGATGAAATGTTATGATTACAGTCAATAATTTTGGATTATGGTTTCCCATTATAAATGTGGAAAATAAAATAGCAAGATACATGACTTGGTCAAGAGAACATATTTAGATATTCTCTAGTTAAAAATCGTTGCATTTCTCTTTACTTAAATATAAAATAATGATAACAGTAAAAGTGATAACATAATACTAATGATCTGATATAAGAATTTACATAAATTAAAAATTAAAATCATGTGTTTTGAAGATCACTGCTTCTCTGAAATATGGGTGGCCATATATAATACTTGTGACAAAGAGGAAGAGACCTATCTTAAAATTCCACCTTTTTTTTAAGTAACATTTTTACCTGTATATCTTGTGCAATTTTCTTAAGCTCTCTAAGACTTTATCTGCAAAATAGGGAATTAATATTTACTTTATAGGATTTTCTGACATAAAATAACATGGAAAGCTCTTCAATACAGTGCCTGGCATAGAGTTCTATATCTAATATTCTAACCTACTGAAACATAGGATATTGCCTAGAAGGGAGAGAACTGCATTCTTTACATTATACTCTGTTCTTGATTGCTTCATTTGTTACAAATGATAAAACTAAAGATCATATAAAAGCTATTGTACACAGTCCAGGACATCTATTGCTAATCATTTAGTCCAACAAAAATCATTTATGAAGCACTCAATATATATGTATCAGGCACTAAACTAGATTTCTGGGACATAATAATTAAGTAAGACAGTTTCTGCCATCAAAGAACTAAATGTAGTAAGAAAAAAAAATTAAAAACCCATTGCAGAACAGAGAGACTTCTGAAAGCAGGAAAACAACAAAGCACTAACTAGAGAAACACAATGATTGAGGAGATAACAGGACTTTAAGAAAAAGGATTAAGAGAAAGTTTCTGAGATATAAGCAGGTCTTTAAAGAATAAAGAAGAGAATGTCAAGCAAGACCAGTAAGGAAGAATATTTTATGCAAAGAACATGAAATATGCAAAAAGCACAAAGGCACAAATAAGACTGGTATATTTGGAATACAAGTATGTGGGAATGACTAAATTATAACTGGTATGTTTGAACTAAAGTCTCCATGGTTAACTAAAAGCATAACACTTTAACAAAAATTAATTCACACTGCAGAAATTTAAAAAATGAAACAAAATGAAGCTATAACTAATGAATTTGCCAAGTTAATCCCTCTGAACAGATAAGTTAAATTTCAGCTATAACACATACATGAAAAACTTAGCTATAAAACATTATGAAATATTATTGTCATCATATCTTTATTATCTTTCAACAGGAATAAAAAAATAAACAAAAAACCTATCATATGATTTATAAATAAGGCATAATATTATTACCTACTATTTACTGAGTCTTCAACTATGCTACAAAGTGCACACTGACTGCAAGGAGACAAATCTGGAAGCTGAGAGAACGATTAAGAAGATACCGAAATATGGGGTGTCTGGGTGGCTCAGACAGTTAAGCATCTACCTTCGGCTCAGGTCATGATCCTAAGATTCTAGCCCCATGGCGGGCTCCCTGCCCAGTGGGGAGTCTGCTTCTCTCTCTCCCTCTGCCCCTTCCCACACTCATGCACACTCTCTCTCTCTCTCTCAAATAAATAAAATCTTAAAAAAAAAGATATTGAAATATTTTGGGTAAGAAACAAATTTGAGAGCATTGCGAACTACAGTAGTAGCAAGAGAAATGGAGAGAAATAGACTGATTTAGGAGATACTGAGAGTAAGGCTATTAATACTTGAATGAAGACGTAGAGGAGGACTCCGAGTCTGGCTTGAGCAACTGGAAGAGAACCATTCCTTAAAGAAGAAACACATGAGAAACATACTTGGAAAATAATGAATTCAGGTATAGACAAGGTAAATTTGAGGTGCCAATTAATATATCCAAACAGAGATTTTTTAGTAGGAATTATATATGTGGATCTGGAGCTCAAAAGAATAATCTGGCTAGTGAAATCATATCTGTAAATCATCAGCATATATACTGTATTTGAAGGTATAGGAGTGCATAAAATCCCCCAGGAAGTTGTTAGAAGAAAGAGGAAGAGGGCGCCTGGGTGGCTCAGTTGGTTAAGCGACTGCCTTCGGCTCAAGTCATGATCCTGGAGTCCCGGAATCGAGTCCCGCGTCGGGCTCCCTGCTCGGCAGGGAGTCTGCTTCTCCCTCTGACCCTCCTCCCTCTCATGTGCTCTCTCTCATTCTCTGTCTCAAATAAATAAATAAAATCTTTAAAAAAA